AAATGGGCAGAAGAACATAAAAGACATTTCTTCAAAGAGGAAATGAAAATGGCCAACAGGGATATGAAAAAATGTTCAACATCCCTTATAATCAGGGAAATGCAAATTAAAACCACACTGAGATACCACATTACACTAGTAAGAATGGCACATTTCAAAAAAACAAGCAACAACAAATGTTGGCGAGGATGTGGTGAAAAAAGGAACTCTCCTGCATTGCTGGTGGGAGTACAGACTGGTCCAACCACTATGGAAAGCTGTCTGGAAGTTCCTCAGTCTACTAAAAATGGAGCTACCATATGACCCGGCAATTCCACTCCTAGGGATCTACCCGAAGGACACAGAAACACTGATTCAAAAGAACACCTGTACCCCTATGTTTACTGCAGCACTATTTACAATAGGTACAACTGGAAACAACCCAAATGCCCAAAAATAGATGACTGGATCAAGAAGATGTGGCATAGATACACAATGGAATATTATTCAGCAATCAAAAAAGATAAACTCATGCCATTCGCAGCAACGTGGATACAACTAGAAGGAATTCTGCTCAATGAAATAAACCAGAAGGAAAAAGAAAAATATCAGATGGTTTCACTTATAGCAGAAATATAGGGGAACCAAATAAGACATCAATGTAAAAAAATAATAACAGTACAAAACACAATAAAGCAGAAACAGACAATTATAAATCAGAGACACACTGCAGGGAAGGAGGAGGGAGAGGGATCAGAGGAAGGGAGGGAGAAGCACAGGGGACTGAGGTGATGGTGCACGGGTGCATTGGTGAAGGAAACTCTATGGGGACTACACCTGAGGGGGTGGGGGAAACAAATATCGTTTAAAAATGAACAATGATGTAAAAAATAAAAAAAAATAAAAAAAAAGAGAGCCTTCTGTATAAAAAGTAGTTTCATCAAGTATACATGGCTTAAAAATACCTGATGGCTACGGGACTGTTCAAAGATCACACAGTAGGCAGAATATATAAAAAAATATGTACACAGTACTAATAGCATCCACTTATATCCATTAAAAATATCCAATACCGGGGCCTCCCCGGTGGCGCAGCGGTTGAGCGCTGGGTTGCGAAGCTGCCCGCGGCCTCTGCGGCGCCGGTTCGATCCCCAGCTGCTCCCCGGCCACAGGAGGAGGGTCCCACATGGCACGCAGACCTCTCCTGCCGCCCGCTGCTCCCCTCAGCAGTGTACTTCAGTCCTCCTGCCTGCTCTGCTCCCCGCTCTGGCTCTGGTGAATTCTCTCACCCTCCCCCGCTTCTGACTGTACCCAGTGCATGTGTAAACAAAACAAACAAACAAATAAATAAATAAAAACATGCCTCTAAAAAAAAAAAAAAAATATCCAATACCCCTTCCTTCAATATATATTTACTGAGGGCATACCCCATACTGTACTAGTCTAAGAAACATGATTAAGAGGTAAATAAGACAGACAAGGTCTCCGTTCCTGGGGATTTTATATTCTGATATAGGCAGCATAAATTATATAATCTAATGTTAGGCAGTCATTAACAAAATATAGAAAAAGATAGTATAGTAAAGCTACACTACATAGGAAAAAGCAGTACAGCAATGGTTGGGGGGGAGTGTTACTTCAGAGAAAGTGATCAACAGAAGACCTTCTAAAAATAGTAATGTTTGACAAAACCCTAATGAAATAGGACAGAGTTATATGCAAATATCAGCAGAGTCCTGGAGGCAGAAGGAAGATTAATTGGGAAAGATTAAAAAAGATGGGAGTGTGCTTGTCATGTTCACATATGGTTGTGGCACAGTAAGGAGAGAGAGGTAAGATATTAAGTCTTATCACACACTAGGCAAAAAAACAACAAAAATAGCTGAAAAAGATTATACAATCAACTAAAAACAATTCCACCCTATAAGGTGACTAGACACCTACACTCTATGGTAAATAAAACAAATTATCCCACAATGGCAGATTCAGGAGTAACCTTATGATGTAAAGGTACTATGGTCCCCAGTCATAGCCTACTGATGATTCCCGAATCTCCATCCATATCCAGTCCTATTCTTAAATTCAACTTCAGTATCCTGTCTTTTCCAGAGGTTGAAGCCTGAGACTCAAGTTAGCACCTATCTCCCCTATGCTCACCTGAGGGCTTCTGTCTTTGATTGCTATTTAAGTTTTTATTGACTGATTTTTAAAAGTTTATTGATTTATGCGTACAAGACTGGGGTATAGGCCAGAGGTACAGGGGATTGGGGAGGTGAGAGGATTCACCAGAGACAGAGTGGGGAAGAGAACAGGCGGACTGACTGAAATACACTGCTGAGGGGAGCAGCAGGCGAGACAGGAGAGGTCTGCTGCGCCATGTGGGTAGCTCCCTGGCCAGGGATAGAACTCGTGCTGCAGTGGCTGCAGATAGCTTCAAAGGTCGCATCTAAACCCCTTGTGCCACCAGGGAGGCCCACTATTTAAGTTTTAAAGGCATGATTACAAAGGTATTTCATACCAATTCTGAATTATAGAACTACCTTTTTAAAAATTTCCTAAACTTTCTAAAATTCATTACACAGATCTAGTTGTAAAACCTTGCCCTTTCCTACTTTAAATGCTCTCACATCCCTTTCTTCTCCATTACTTCTGCCATCAAGTATGGAGTGCAAGAAGTTCATAAACAATTTCTCTTCCTTCAACCAACGTATAGTATTCATGACTGCAAGGCTAACTTTTTCAAAGTACAACTTCTTCCATCATTTTACCCTTCTATTTGAAAAGTCTTTAGTGGATCATAGTACTTATAATTTAAAACCTATATTTAGTTTAGTTTTCAAGAGTCCCCAAAATCCACATTATCATTTACAATTTTTTCTTAGAACAAAGTTCTCTATTTCCTGTAAGATGAATTCTCACCATTCCAAGAACAAACTAGATTTTCATAATTTTCAGTGTCAACAAGACTGACCATGTGATAGGTAATAGTTTCAAAAAGGATTTATAATGAAAATGTCCCAATAAAGAATAAGTAAGTCTCCTCATAAAGAAGAAACAGTAAAACAGAAACACTAGATTAGAAAAAATTTTAAAAATCATTAGTATTATTGCTAAGAAACTAAAACATTTCATTAATCCCCATTTACAATTTAGAGATAAAAACTTGTGGATAGACCTCAAATTTTAAGTGACTTGCCCAATGTCCCATAAAACCAAAATGAAGAAACAGAAGCTCAAATCCCATTTACCCCCTCATCTTGCCTGCCTTCTCTGACTACGTAAGGAAAAGATTACTATATTTATTCTTAAAATATTAAAGTATTTGGATATTTAGACATTAGCTATGGCATATTATGTAAATAAAATAATCTGTTCGAGGAATGAACACAGGGATGTCATTCCTGTGCTTAAAATTTTTTCAGTGGTTCCCTAGAGAATTTAGACAAATTCAAAATTCTTTAGACAAACAGCCTTTCAAAATTTGACTCACAATTACCATTTAATCCAAACTACCAAATCATTCTACCATGTTTCAATAACACCAAATACTCAGCCATCACAGTTAGTTAAGGAAAAGAAGTAGCAAAAATAGGAATACCAAGAATGAAGACATATGTATTACCAATTTCATGAGGGCCACACTAACACTTGTTTGTGAAATACTGAGTTTTACATTTCCTTAAAAAAGGTTATTACTAAACATTAAAATAAAATTCCTAACTTCCTTTTCACCTTTCACAAGAAATTGTATAATGGAAGTGATTAAAGGTTTATGCTAAGGAACTAGATTGCTTGGATTTAAGTTCTGGTTTCACCAACCTCCTAACATTATTAACCGACTGGGTCACATTTCTACAAAACTGGATGATATCTGGTAGGACTGCTGTGCAAATTAAATGAGAGAACATGAAGCACTCAGAATTATGCCTAAAACACAGAAAATATTCTAATTGCTAACTGCTGGAAGAACAAATATTAAGGCAAATTATTCTGGCTTCTTTGTGACAATCTGCTGATTAGGTTAAAAATGGTTCATTCACCATAAAGAATACCAGTTAAAGTCTGGCTCATAGTAGGTGGTCAATGTTCTGGAGAATTACTAGAATGAATGTAAACTTCTAACTAAATAACTGTCTCAGTCTATCAGAGCACTGAATCACCTTCCTCTTCCAGTAACAACCATACTGACCTAAGGATGACCTAAATTCAGACTTCTGTTTCCATCATTGGGCCGTACTCCAAAAACACATATATAAAAGTGAAACTATGGATGGCTAGTCAGTCAGCTAAAGTTACAAGGTGCCTATGGCAGACCTAAAGCTGTGTATAAAAGGGCACTGGAGGGCAATGCATCAGTACATGAGACATCAAAAATAAAAATTAAGACTCTTCTGCTTTTTGCCTTTTCAAGATATCCCCTGATGATGCTACATCGATTTGTAACATTGTAACTCACCTGTTTTTTCAGTTATATCAGAATCAGGGGTGCCTGCCCTGCTAACTTCACCTTCAGCATTCTCCTCTTCAGCACTAAGGGAAATTGGTGAAGAAGGACCAGGCTGGGAGGGAAGAGGGGTTGCTTCAGGTGCTTCCTCAATCTTATTCCTTTTCTCAAAGCGAAAACGGTCCAAGTTGAAAAGATTCATATTGGTAGAAACCACCACCCAGTGGGACTGGGGCCTTTAAATGAACTATCTAAGGGGAGAAAATAAAAAGAAAAAAAGAGGCCATAAAAACAATGTAAAATACAAAGCAATAGCAGCCTGTTCCAATTCAATTAAAAGCCGCAAGCAAGCCAGTGGTTCAGGGTTACTATTACGGCTGCGCCTCATTTTTAGGCCACAAGGAGCATAAGGTGGACAGGGGTATCTTCTAAAAAATTTCCATTGCTCTTTTTACACGTCCCCCCTCCCCACACACACCCCTCTCCTTCCTCGAACCACAAAGCTGACCCTCGTGCAACCTCCTCTTACCCCAGCACGCGCAGACACGTTCCCCAAACTAACCCCCCTGCGGGCCGCGCGCCCGCCCACAATGAGAGGTTCCCTGCACTAGGGTGCTCCGGGCCCCGAGAAAGGACGTGCCAGGGCCCGCGCCTCGACACTGCAGGGACACAAAGAGGCCAAAGAAGGGGAGCGGCAAGAGGCCGTGCTGGCGGGCACCCGCCCGGAAGTTGACGCGGCGCGATCTCAGCTGAAAGGAAGCTGATAGGATCAAGAAAACACAGAGAAGGCACAGAGGTGAGGAGTGTGCGGCGCCATCTCGTTTAATGCTCAGTCGCTCCTTTTCTTTCATTCTTTCCTTCTTTCCTCAGTACTTACGGTTTTGGAGCCACGCTGAGATGTAACAAAGATTGTAAAGAAAAGGATAATTCCTGGCGTGGGGCGACGGTAGCCGTGTCGGGACCATCCAAATCAGCACGGAAAAACCTAGCGAGCGCGTAATGATGACGCAACACGCCGCTTAAGCCCTTTTTTCTTCCTCAGCTACGCGCAAGCGGAAAAAGGCTCGGAGCGCGCGGTTGTCATGGTAACTTGAGCCCGCCCCTTGCCTAGGAAGCGCGCTTGTGGCCTGTGGCTCCAGGTTAGCTGTTAAACAGGGCAATGATAAATAGCACAATGACAACAAATAGCATCCTGGAGTATTTGCTCTCTTGTAACCTGTAGTATTTGTTGCATATAGATAGTATAACCATATTGTGCTAAATGTTTTACTTGTATGGTTTTCAACCCTTGTGAGATGCCTATTTTTACAAAACAAACTGAAGCCTGCAGATGTTAAGTGATTAATTAATAGGGAGAAAAATCCAGGTATGTTGAGCTTCAAATCACATGAACTGCCTCACTCTGTCGACTGGATTGTTCTGAGTGGAATATGACAACTCGGCTGGACAATTTGAAGGAACTTAAGAATATTTACTCTCTTTGTTTTAACAATACACTTTAGGCAATTTTCTGAGTTGTAATTTGATTCTCTCGTTGGTGTTTCCCTTCAAGAGGAATTATTACCTATGATTTTGTTAAAATACATTGGCCATAAACTCTTGGCATTGTCTTATAAATCAGTATTTTGAATTTTATAATTATAACATGAACAGTTATATGACATGATAAAAGGTATATTAACTTAGAGATAGTAAATTATTTTGGTAATGAAGAGCATTTGCTTTATATTCAAACAGCTCTAACTCTGAACATGAATTCATCTAGCAAATGAGTTTCACTAAGCTTTAGTGAATCGGACCCTAAGGGTCTCTCAGTTGTCTCAATGAGGAAAATATTCAACTTGGAGACCAGAATTAGGCAAGAAAGCAAGAGATTTTTGTCAGATGAGGACAGGAAAACTAAGCAGATGCGGGCACCTGCGTTTGCCGCTGAGGGGGCCAAGAAGTAGGGATTTATGTGGGTATAGGGCCAAGAAGTAGGGATTTATGTGGGTATAGTGGGCAAGGAGTTAGGACTTGGATGTTGAGTGTCTCCTGTGTCTCTTTTTGATTGGTTGAAGCCCATGGGGACTTCCGGGTTATTTGGTCTGTTTCCTGGGAATGAGCTTTTTGGTCTGTTGCTTTTGCATTGTGCTGGTTTTCTGAACACTCAGTTTTCTCACTGAGTTGGGGTACCCTGACCCTACCTGACTGCCTGGACCCAGCCTAACTTCCTCATTCATTAGGTTTTTTTCACCTATTTAATTTGATTGATCATTGTTCACCTTTTAGGGCAGTTTTCTGCAATAGTCCTAACCTTTCATATTTGTTCAGTTAGGACAAGAGTGAAAATGGAGATAAACGTACCATATGGCTAAATATTTAAAAATTGTAAATATAGTTTACACAATGTAAAAATATGTTCTATGCTGTTTTGAAAATGACCTGCAAAGTCAGGTTCAATTTAAGATTCCTGTGTATCAGACAGGTTGTGAGTGACTTGAAAATTGTTTTGCCCATGTGTACTATCTTCCGTTTTCATCTCCTACCATTCAGTTTGATACCATTAAAGGCCTACACTCATGATATGGACACTGCTGAAATGTCTTACTCTCACCCCACCTAGAGTTGCCATATATTTTTTTTTTTTTTTTAAAGGTGCTCAGGGGGCCTCCCCTGGTGGCGCAGTGGCTGAACTCTGGGTTGCAAAGCTGCCTGCAGCCTCTGCAGCACAGGTTCGATCCCCGGCCACGGGGGAGGTTCCCACATGGCACGCAGACCTCTCCTGCTGCCTGCTGCTCCCCTCAGCAGTGTACTTCGTCAGTCTGCCTGTTCTGTTTCCCGCTCTGGCTCTGGTGAATTCTCTCACCCTCCCACGCTGCTGACTGTACCCAGTGCTTGTATTAATAAATAAATAAATCTTTAAAAAAAAAAAAAAGTACTCAGGGCCTCTCTGGTGGCCTAGGGGTTAAGTCTCAGCGCTATCACTACTATGGCCTGAGTTCGATCCCTGGCCAGGGAACTAACCCACATATGGCACAACAGATCTCTCCTGTCTCTCCCGCTGCTCCCCTCAGCAATGTATTTCACTAAATCTGCCTGTTCTGCTTCTCACTCTGTCTGCTGAGTCCTCTCACTTCCCCCTCACCTCTGACTTATACCCAGTTCTTCTATACAAAAGTTAAAAAAAAAAAAGATACTCAGTTAAATTTGAATTTTAGATAAATTAAATACTTTTTATTGTAAGTATGTCCAATTTCAGTATTTGGAACTTATTTATAATAAGAAGTCATCTGTCTGAAATTAAATATTAAAAGGTGCTCTGTATTTATTTAACAAACTTACCCACACCTTACTGCTTGTTCACCTCTTATATTTAGGACCGTTTGTCAAAATTTTGGGTTGAAGTGTATAAATACTGAAAGCACTCTTGGTCCTCAGTAGGACCAAGAAAAAGTACCTAAGAAATAGTCTTCATTGGCCTACTTGGAGCTGGGATCAGAGAATTTCAGGGGCCAGATACTCAAAAGTATTGTGTGAAAGGCTCTAAGTGAACATGTCTTCTTGGCCTCATGGACAGAAACTTATTCTTTGAGGTTGGGAGTAGCTGGAAAAGAGCCATATTGGGCCTTCTAAATCATTAGGTTTAATACAGAGACCATGCTTGCCCATTTTAAAGATGGAGAGAGGGAAGTTCTGCAGCATTCATTGACCTGGGAAAATTGAAATAAGCCATTATTAGGATTTTGCTTGATGGTTAAACAAAAGGTTAAAGAAGTATATAATAAAGTGCCACAGATTGCCCTAATAAAGTACCACAGATTGGATTTCTTACACAGCAGAAAATTATTTTATCTCACCTCTGAAGGCCAGAAGTTGAATATCAAAGTGTTGTAGGGTTGTTTTTTTCTAGGGATCTTAAAGGAAGACTCTGTTCCAAGTGTCTCTCCATGGTTTATACATGGCTGTCTTCTTCCTGTGTATTCCCATAGTCTTTCTGTACTTGTCTATGCCCAAATTTCCTCTTCTTAGAAGGACATCAGTCATATTTGATTTGTTTGATTAGCCTACCCTAATAACCACATTTAACTTAATTTTCTCTATATATAATTTACCTCAATTATCTCTCTAAAGACTCCATGTCCAAGTATAGTCACATTCTGAGTTACTGGGGATTTCAACAAATGAATTCAGTCCATAACAGGGATCAAGAAAGTGGAAAGATTATGTGGACCCTGAAATCTCAAATATTAGCAGGAGTTGGTCTAACAACCTGTACTCTGATTTTTCATCCTTCCAACCCTTTGGTCTTCTGCTTGTTTCACTCTCCTCTTTCCCAGAATGAGCTAATTATGATGATGACTAAATATATTTGTCAAATTTTATTCAACTATTAACTCTAGAAGGGTTAATCTTATGGTTTATAAATTATAACTCAACAAATACAATGTTTTTAAAGTAACTATAAACATATGGAAAACAGTTAAAAACCACTTCACCCCCAAATGCAGATGATAAAGACAAGGACATGAAATCAATGAGGTTTAAAGAAATAATATAAGATTCAGAGAACAGAGAAGCAACTTTGATTAAATAAGATAAAGAAAAGAATACACATACAAAGTGAACAGAATTATGAAAAATATAATAGAAAATGGTCATGGTTCTAATTAGTCACCATAAAACAACTCAACCAAATTTAAGGCAGAACTAATTAAAAGAAAATATGCACTAACAATATCTTGGGAAAAAGTTTTTAGTTCCTTGATAATATATCACCTTTAAAATGTTCCTGAAGAAATAAATCCAACTTCAAGGCTAAATAAAAATGAGATTTTAAAGAACAGAGAATTCATGATATAAAAGTATTTTGTTAAAAACGGTTAGTACTTATTGTTATGGTATATTAGTCTCCTATTATTGTGTAACAAACAACCACAAAATTTTAGTTGCATAAAACAATAATTATTTTTTAAAATATTTATTTATTTATACAAGAACTGGGGTACAGGCCAGACGCGTGGGAGGGTGAGAGGATTCACCAGAGACAGAGTGGGGAACAGAACAGGCAGACTGACGAAGTACACTGCTGAGGGGAGCAGCGGGCGAGGCAGGAGAGATCTGCTGCACCATGTGGGATTCTTGCCCGCCAGCCTGGATCAAACCTGCACTGCAGAGGCTGCGGACAGCTTCACAGTGCGGCGCTCAACCACCTACGCCACCGGGGAGGCCCAAAACAATTTTGATTGACTACTGTGACCCAACTTCAGGCTGCAATGCATTTTTGCACATAGTACATGCTCAGTAAATATTTACTGAGTGTATGAAAGATAGTAGTAACTACTTGAAATGCCCAGGCATGCATATATATATAAACAAATAAATTTTTAAATAAGCTGGGTATCCTCAAAATGAAACATGCCATGGGAAAACAACATAAACCAGAGTTTAAAATTCAGGAAAGTAGTGACATAATTCCAGAAATTTAGAGAAATCTAGAAAAAATATTAAAATAGATGTAACATACAGAAAGTAAGATAATGCCTTAAGAGGAATAAAAGATAAAAGCTGAAAGAAAGGTAAAAATAAAAAAATAGAAATGTAAGGTAGATTTCAAAAGTAAATAATAAACATAGAGACTAAGAAAAGAAGACCCAACATTATTATTTTAGATGTCACTGAAGAAGGAATCCCAAAGGATTCCCAAAGGATACAGGAAGTACCTGAAAACTGTAATTCAAAACATTTTCCTAAAAATAATGATTTCAACCTAAATATTGAAAGAACACATCATTTACTTGAGAATATTAATCCAAATGTCCAACACCATGACATATTCTAATAGAAGTTAGACTTTAAAGAAAAAGTTTTGAATTCCTTCAACATTTAGATAAAAGCAATCTATAATGGAAAGAAATTGGATTATCTTCACAGTTTTCAATTGCAAGTATATTTATACTAAAAGAAAATAGAAATTTTGTATTTAGGATTCTCAAGGAAATAGAATGTGATCCAGGATATTATTTTGTGCAAAAGTGTGTTTCAAATGTAAAGGCACAGAAAAACTATTGACATCATGTAAGAACTCTGTGGATATTGTTCTCATGAGCATTCCAGAGGAATCTATTAGAGAATGACCTTCCTTTTTTGTTGTTGTTGTTATTGTCTTTTCTTTTAGACAGAATGAACTTCCTTAAACCAAAACATCTGTAGAGGCAATATATAAGATACTGAGAATTATCTGTATAGCTACTGTATAGCAAAGGCAATATGAGGCTTAAAAGAAAAAAAGTGTGGTAAACAATGGCTGTATTATCTATCAATGCACACTTCTTAAAATGGGGAGAGAATGGTAGGTACATATGTAATTTTTTTTTAATTTTTCAGTAATTGTATTGAAGTATATTAGGATTGTTCTACTGTGTATATTGTTGGATAAATAAAATGAATTTTTTTATTTCCTGTTTCTCAAGTAGAAGAAAGGAAATGTAGATGTAGTAGAGAGAGGTTAGAACAAAAATCCTGAAGTGTAGCATGGTCTTTTATTTGAATTGGAAATGTCCATATAAACTTATGAGGTTTGATACATACACATTATGTACATGCAAATATAACTTGCATGTGTATTACCTTTTCCACTGAAAAGGCCTAAGAATTGAGTACCTCAATACACATTCCTACTCCTGAGATTGAAATGTCATTTACCACTAAAGGAAACCAGGACTTGTTGGGGGAAAGGACAGATTCCATCTGGGATAGGAAATGTGCAGAATGAACCTGGAATGACTTCCTATAATGAAAAGCAAGGAAGTTATCAAAGACCTGTAACATTATGTCAAAAACATCTGGGAATCAACTTGTAGAGGCTCAGACTGATCAAAGATGAAATAATTTTTGCTTCAATAAGATTAAAAATTTCAGTGATATGAAAGCCATCGAATATGTTTAATCCCATGAGTTATTAATGATATTTTCCTTCTAAACTGTTTTCTTTGAAGAATGAAGTTAAGACAATTCATTATCATGACAACTGACAAATGAAAGAGAAGAATCGAGATTTTATCCTGTCTTTATGGTAATAAAATGATAGTTGAGAAAAAGTATTTCTTTATGAAAGTATACCAACTGGTAAATGAGAAAAAAATGATAACATTTTAATCATTCAGCAAGCCTGGGCCATATTTCTGACCTGCAAAATCATGATATATAGTAAAATGACTTGTTCAAAACCATCAACTTTTGAGGGTAGTTTGTTTGCAGTAGTGGGTAAGTGGAATATTTTTCTACATTTTTGTCTCGAGTGCACTGCTTATTCCAGTTAAGATTAAAATGTTTTTTATTTTTTCATCTTAAAATGCCCAGACTCAAAAACTACCTGGAAATCTTAGTCTCATTTCCTATTCAGCTCATTTGGAGTAGCTGAGTCCCCAAATCAGTATTTAATAAACTTCATTCATGTGCCCTCATACTCTGTCTCTGCCTTCTTTGCCAGAAGAATCATTTCCCACAATAGTATCTCATTCTTCTTTCCTGATAGTGTTAACAAGATTAAAAGTTCCTTTTCTTTAGAAGTACTGAATCACAAAGCATTAATTTTAATTTATCTTAAGGTGTTTAAGTTGATTCAACATGGTAGTTAAGAATAAAGTTCTTAGAATATAGACCATAAAATAAAATTTTGTCAGTAGAACTATCCAATTATCACTATGATTTCAGAAATAAATTATTGTTTCAAAGACCCCTATGGGGATAGTTTTCACCTTTTAAATTAAGAAATATTAATATAGGGCTGCTATTGTTGTTTCATGTGTCAACATGACTGGGATAAGGGATGCACAGATAAGTGGTAAAACATAATTTCTTGGTGTGTGTAGGCATTTCTGTAAGAGATTAGCATTTACATTGGTAGACTGAGTAAAGAACCTTGTCCTCACCAATGTAGGTGGTTTTTTTTAAAAGATTTATTTATTCATTGCATGGAAGAACTGGGGTATAGGCCAGAGTTGTGTGGGGGCAGCGAGAGGATTCACCAGAGACAAGAGTGGGGAGCAAAACAGGCGGATTTACTGAAATGCACTGCTAAGGTAAGCTGCAGGTGAGACAGGAGAGGTCTGCTGCACCATGTGGGTTAGCTCCCTGGCAGGAGATCCAACTCAGGCCATAGAGGTGATAGTGCTGAGATTTAACTGGTAGGCCAGCAGGGAGGCGCCTGTGGGTTATTATTAGCCAGTTCACTGGACAGAAGAGAAAGGTGGAAAGAAGGGTGATTTACTATTTCTATTTGAGCTGGAATAGTCATCTCCTGCCTCCAACATTGGGTCCTCAGGCTTTTGACTGAGGTCTGGGACTGAAATTAATTAAACCACAAGATTTCCTGGACCTCCAACTTTCAAAGGCACTTCTCAGTCTCCATAATAGTATGAACCAATCCCTCAAAATAAATCTCTTTGTGTGAATGTGTGTGTATCAATTTGGTGGTTTTTCCAGAGAAACCTTACTAATACAGCTGCCAAAAACCTGTTAATTACATGTTAGTTTTTAAATGTACTCCGTGGAAATGTTTAGAATCCTCAAATTTCCTCAATAAATAGGATGAAGGATTTTGTTGGAATTTTATTTTTATTTATTTTTGCTTTACATTTACCAAGATACAACCATGAAGCAATTTAGGAAAGGAGATATCCTTCCAAATCTGAATTGAACTGAACAAGAAACTAAGAAAAATAATGAACAGCAACAGAGATTACAAGTGGAATTTGCAAAAAAAAAAAAACAAGTGGAATTTGCAAACCTGGATCTCTCCTTAACTTGATATCTTAGAAATGTAAACCACACCTGGTTGGTAATGGAAACTTGTGTAAACTAATCTTATCTTCTACACCCACTAAAAGTGGAAAAGACAAGATACAAAATCATAAAACTAAATAGATCTTTCTTCCTTGGCAACAAGAGACTAAACAAAATAATACCGGTTTGTAAGTAAACACTAAATTTCCCACAGTAATCCTCTTAATTTGATGAATTTGAGGGAATGGTCATGAAACTCTTTTGATAATCTGAGTTTAAAAATTATGCAGAGGCCTCCCTGATGGCGCAAGGGGTAAATCACAGCACTGTGAAGCTATTTGCAGCCTCTGCAGCATGAGTTCAACCCCTAGCCGGCCAGGGAGGAACCCACATGGTGCAACAGACCTCTCCTGGCTTGCCCTATGCTCCCCTCAGTAGTGTACTTCAGTCATTCTGCCTGTTCTGTTCCCCACTTGGTCTCTGGTGAATCCTCTCACCCCCCCACACCTCTGGTCTGTTCCCCAGCTTTTGTATAAATAAATCTTTTAAAAAATGTTTAAAAGAAAGATGAAAAACCGATACATTCAATTAAAAAAAAAAAAGTCCATAGTTTCCCGATGTGAGAGAGAGGGTTATTTATTTTAGCTCTTTCTTATTTCTCTATGTGGGCCTATATTGCTATATATATATTTCCTTCTTAGTACTGCTTTTGCCACAGCCCATAAGCTCTGGAAGGTTGTGTCATCATTTTTCTTGATATATATATATATATATATATGTATATATTTCAATATATGTGTATTGTTTTCCTCATTAACCCAGTAGCCTGTCAGTAGTGTGTTGGTCAGTCTCCACATTAAAGGATTTCTCTGCTTTCTTTTCATAGCTGATTTCTAGTTTTATACCTTTATGATCAGAAAAGATGCTAGTTGTGATCTCAATCTTCATGAATTTGTTATCTGTGTTTTGAACTAGTATGTGATATATCCTGAAGATGTCCCATGTGCACGTGAGAAAAATGTGTATTCTCTTTTGGGGGTGTGCAGTGCCCTGTAAATATCTATTAGGCCTTTATACATTCTAATTCTTTAAGGGTTTTGTGTCCCTGTTTATTTTCTGTCTCATTGATCTGTTCACTGGTGATAGTGGGGTGTTAAAGTCAGCTGCCACATATGTGTTTTTAACACTTTCAGAGTTGATAGCAGTTGCCCTAATGTATTTTGGTGCTCTTTCATTTGGTGAGTATATTTTGATGAGTGTTATGACTTCCTGATGAACTGTTCCCTTAATCATTACATAGTGATCCTCTCTAGCTCTTGTTACCTTTTTGAACTGGAAATTGAATTTTTATCTGATATAAATATGACTGTTTCTGTTTTCCTTTGGGTCCCATTTGTTTGTAGGATTGTTTCCCAGCCCCTTACTTCAAGCCTATGTTTATCTTTAGAGCATAAATGTGTCTCCTGGAGACAGCAGAAGATTGGATTCTGTTTTGTTATCCAACCAGATACTGTATGTCTCTTTATTGGTGAGTCTGATCAGGCTTCCTTTATAGATTATCTGTTTCTTTCTCCAATCCTGCTTCAATATTTTTTCCTTCTCTTGAACTCTTGGAATTTTCATTATTATGCTGGAATTTTTATTACTGTATACCTTAGTGTAGGCCTCATATTGTTTATGTAACCCTGGTGTTCTTTTAGCTTCCTATATTTGTATATTTATATTCTTCGCCAAGTTTAGGAAGTTTTGTTTCATTATTTATTTAAATAAATTCTGTTTTTCTCTCTCACTTCCCTTTTGGGAACACCTGTTCTTATATTGCCTTTCCTCAGAGTCAGATAATTCTAGAATTGTTTCTTCTTTTTTGTATTTTTGCTTCATTTCTTTCTTCTTTTGCTTGGATTCTTTTTTTACGTCATCTTCAAGATCACTGATTTGCTCTTCCATTTGTTTTATTTTACATCCATAGCTTTCTCTGAATTTTTCCTCCTCTATTAATTTGTTTATATCTTATAACTCCATTGCTTTCCTATTTAAAACATCAATTTCATATTTCTGTTCACTGCTTTTATTTCTAAGGACATTCATTTGTTTTTCTGAGTTTTCTTCCATTTATTTGAATTTCTTTATTATGGCAGTCTTGAACTCTGTAGCTGATAGTAAAAACTTATCTTCCATGTATTTGTAGTTGGATCCTGCCAAATTGTTCTCTCTGTGGTGTATTAGTCCCCATTATATGCTTTGGGACCATATGCTATAGGAAGGGCTTCTTCAGGGTGTGCCTCCCCCCCCACAGTGGTGTATGTACTTGCTGGGTGAGCTGTGTGGCTGGTGGAACCTCATGTGATGTTGCAGGTCTTTGGTGACTCTCAATCCTCTTCTGGAGGTGGTCTGGGCTCTTACCAGGTGGGCTGAGTGGCTGGCAGGCTATAATTTTTTTAGAGAGGGTTTCATCTAACTCAGAATTTGCCTTCCATTATGCAAACTATCTGAAAAGTCACTTTTTTTTTTAAAGCTTTATTTATTTATTTATACAAGCATTGGGTATAGTCAGAAGCATGGGAGGGTGAGAGGATTCACTAGAGCCAGAGCGGGGAGCAGAACAGGCAGACCAACGAAATATACTGCTGAGGGGAGCAGCGGGTGGCAGGAGAGGTCTGTGCGCCATGTGGGACCCTCGCTGGCAGCCGGGGATCGAAAAGGCACTGCAAAGGCTGCGGGCAGCTTTGCAACCCAATGCTCAACCACTGCGCCACCGAGCAGGCCCTGAAAAGTCACTTTTAATTACAATTGTTCTTGTGAATTCTATAATTAAACCATAAATTGTAATGTACAAAGATTTTTTACATAGTCTGTAAGTTTCATTTGTTCATTTAAGTTATCATTATTGTGTGCATAATCTGTGCCAAGGTTTTTAAGAGGTGATGGGAAATATAAAGAGGAGTAAGACTGGTGCGATTCCTTTCCCCAGTTGCTTTAACTTATCAGTGAGTAAACTAACCCTAAGTTATAAATAGTACAATGTAGGCTATGATAGTGAAAGTACAGATTCTTACAGAGTCTCTTATAAGTTTGGTGGAGAAATCCAGTGAGATAGTGACAACTGAGTCCTGAAGGATGAATAAACCATTAAAGGAGGAAAAATGGTAACTAAGAGAAGATTCCTTTAGGAATTTGTACTTAATCCTCAGGACAGAGGAGAGGATAAAGGTTTTTAAGCAGTTACGGTTAAGAAAGAGGACTCTGATGTTGTAGAAACACTGAATTAGAATGTATCAAGACTGAAGTCCTGTATTTACAGAAGAATGACAGCTAGTATTCCTATAGGAATGATGGAATGGAAAAACCACT